CTCGGTTCTGCCTTGCCCACAGACCCTGGACAACTCACGGGTAGAGCTGTTTCTGTTCTGGGGCAACCGATGTCCGGTCCGCGTGGGGACGTACGTACTTGAGGTCAGTGCCCCCTTCTTGCCTGGGGACACTCAGCCCTTTCCCAGGAACAGGCTGAGAGTGACAGGGGGTATGGTGACAGAACGGAGCGTGCTGAACAGGAGGGTTACAGAAACTTCTTCGCATCAGCCAAGATGTCAAAGCTGAGACTTCGGACATGCTCAGAACAGTTTTCACCAAGATGGGCTCTGTCCCCCGGGAGACTGAGGGGGCAGGCAAGCCAGCCAGCGCTCAGTTAAATGTCGTCTTAATTTGGAAAGCGCAGAGGGACATTTTTTATCAATAGTCAGCCGTTCTCCAGCACAAGGAGTGCAGTGCGGTGCTCACTTGGAGCCTGCGGGCAGCTCAGATTGATAGGCAGCCTCCTTGTCTGTCACCCAACTTCAGCTTGGCAGCTCACTGACCCTACCTCTCCTCTGGCTGAAACAAGCTTGAGATGGCAACCACTACCCAGGGGACTCTGAAGAGAACCCAATCCCCACAGGAAGACAGGAGAGGGAGGGAGGTGTCTTAGCACTTGCTCAGCCTGGCACGTAGTATGCACCTAGAAAATAGGTCAGCCTTTTCCAGCTCCTACTAAGGATGGAGTACAATGTAATGGGTAAGGGGAGGAAGGAGCCATGATCAGAAACATTCATTCAGCAAACACTTTGTATTTATTGATTACTATGTGTCAGAAGTAGCGCTGGAAATAGCAGTAGGGGGTATACAGAATCGTTCATGCAACAAATATTTAAAGCGCCTACTATGTGCTGGCTAGGCTTGGTGCTGTTGGGTGGAGAGGGGGCAATGCAGCAATGCATAAAACCAGGCATTCTTTGAGCAAATATTTACCAAACATTTACTAAGTACCCTGCACTGTATTAGCACTGAAGATAGAATGAATCAAACAGCCTTGTTCTGACTACAGCATCAGGACTCCCCAGAAACAGCATCTCTCGATAAGGAAACTGAGGCAGCAGAGAATCACATGATTCTCTGTGAAGCTGAGCACAGCACCTCTGTGAATCACACGATTGCTGAGGGCACTAGGTCCCCAGACTTGGGTCTCCCAGTATTCTAACCCAAGCTGGCCCTCCTGGCAGGGGCCACTTCGCTGCCCTTCCCCTCGTATTTCCTTTCAGGGCATGGACAATGAGTCATTAATAATGGAATTTTTTTTTTAAAGATTTTATTTATTTGACAGAGAGAGACACAGCAAAAGAGGGAACACAAGCAGGGGGAGTGGGAGAAGGAGAAGCAGGCTTCCCGCAAAGCAGGGAGCCCGATGTGGGGCTCGATCCCAGGACCCTTGGATCATGACCCGAGCCGAAGGCAGATGCTTAATGACTGAGCCACCCAGGCGCCCCTTAATAATGGAATTTTAATGGCAAAAGCACAGCAGCGCCTGGGTCTGTGGATGAAGCCCATCCCCTGGGGCCATGTGGAGACCGCAGTGACTGAACAGCCAAGGATTTTTGGTCCCTTGACAACACCTCTCTCATGACTCTTCCATCCTTCCTCTCCACAAGGAGAGCTTGAAAGTATCCCCCCTCCACAGTTGGCACCCCGAATTGAATCAGTACTTAACTTGTAATGACTGAGGGGGAGGGAGGGCTGCATGTGGTCATCAACACAGGACACCCACTGTCCTGGGGCTGTGTGAACTGCCCCTCCTTCCCCCAGAAGGAATCAGGAACCCCAAATGACAACAGGAAGGGAAGAGGCTGAAGAGCTGGGCTCCACAGGAGGGCAGGAAATGACATTTTACAGAAGGTGCCTCAGGAAGGGTGACTGGCGGTCTGCATGGAGCTGGGCGCTGTGCTCAGCTCAGGCTGGGAAACATTGGGTTAACCAAGTTCTTCACTGCAGGACTTCTTGGAACCTTAAAGATGCTGATGTGCATTGTGAATCTATAAAAAAGGGAAGTCTGGTACAGCATTTCCCAAACTTATTCGACCACAGAAACCTTTCTTTTTTTTTTTTGCAGAGAGATTAGTGCACTGTATAACTTAAAAACCTGAGCTTTAACCAATGTGTGTATGGAACCTCCACCGGCATGGGGCCTTGTGCTAAGTGCTGAGGATACCAGAATACAAAGACAACGAGGTTCCAGATCCCATCTGTGGGAGGCCAGCTGCATGAGGGGACCAGCATGGGGGTGGGGGGGCCAAGTGTGTAAGGCAGCCCTGGAAAGGGAATGGCAGTCAGGCGGAGGCGCTGGAGCTGGAAGAAGCCAGTGGTGAGAGGAAGGTGCTGGAAAAGTATGGTAGGACCCACTAGAGGTTGGGGAGAGAGGTAGGGAGCAGAGAGGGAAACACAGACAACCCTCTCCTGCCCAATTCCTCCCACCTTTCAACTAGCGGAGCTGGGTAGTCTTTCCCATTTGAACAGTTACTAGAGGGTTTGGTCCTCAGTCCTTCCCCACCCCCACCCCCACCGCATCTATGCTATTGAACTTGGGCTAACATCCAGAAGCCAGGGAACAGCTATGCACAAATTCAGTAATTGGAGTCATTAGCGTTGACTCAGAAATCATTTTTCCTAAGTCTCTCTCTTGGAGAAGCTTTTAAGACCCTTCAAATTGGTTAATGGAGAGTTTAGAAATGAGGTTGGAGCCTCAGCTTTCAGCTCCCCCTGCCCAACCCCCAGCTCTCCCCAACATACTCAAGGGCAAGAGTGATGAGATAATCCAATATCTATTTTATTAAACTCTCATCCATTTCTGGCATACCCTTCACAAACAAGGATCTTGAAATCTACCCTTCCCTGCTGCAAGTCTCCAGGCGCTCAGTCTCCACTTCCTCCCTCACACTGGCTGGATGACAAGAACACTTTCGCGTGAAGCTACAGTGTGAACTGGCGCAAAGGAGCCCCAGGCCAGGAGTCAGGGGGCCGGGGTCTTCTCCTGGCCTGCTGACTCATAAAGCCGGTAACCACGGGCACCACTCCGCCTCCTGGGGCTTCAGTGAGGACCAAGGTCCCTTCTGCAGCAAAATGGCACACACGGGCTGGGTAGGGTAGAAGGCAGACACCAATGCCTTTGGTTTCCCACTGAGAAAACAATGTAGCGGGTCAGGTCACTGCTTCAAGCTGACATGGCCAACGCCTGGGTCTTCACACACTTTCTTCTTCTTTACTGTGCTGGGGCAGGTGCTTAAGGTGCTTTGGGAAGTTGAGTAGATAACTGGCCTCTGCCCTGGGACTCAAGGTGCGGTAGCTCTCTGAGAACCCACAGGCTTCCTTCTTTAGGGCTGAAGTGAGGTGGTCTGAAAAAGTCAAGCAGATACATCAGGCATGTAGGCAAGAAACTCGTTCCTTCCAAATCAAAGGTGAAATGGGAGATGATCATGAATCCGTAGGAGATGACCAAAAGTGAATGTTGGGTCTCATCTTGAGAACAGCCTGAATCAGTGTTCTCTAAGTGTTAGCCATTCATGCAACCACCCCATTGGTTTTTGCCACCTCTCTGGGACCTGTGCTCCTCTTTATCCAATTTCACAATGTTTTTCTTTAAATGGATTATTTATAATATCTGTGAAGCCACGATGTGCTAGTCACATTTTTACATTATATATTAAATATCCAACTACTGAGATGGAAAATATTGAGTACCTAAAATCCTCTTGTGAACCACCAGAGACACATATATCAGATGTTGGCAAAAACTGATGTAGTCCTAAAACTAATGATGTAATGTATGGGGATTAACATAAGAATTAAAAAAAAAGAAAGAAAGAAAAAAAAAAACTGATGTAGTCTGAGCTAGAGGAAACTGAGGCATGGGAGGAGATAGGTAAAGGGTTTACTCAAGGTCATAAGCTAAGATGAGGACCAGGGTCTCTGGACCCTTCAGGAGAGTTTTTCACAGGTCACTGAATGAATCCGTTTTGTGCACAGAACCAGAGATCACTGTGAATGTTTCCACTTCTCATCTGGGAGGCTACCAACTGGGGGAAAGGTCAAAGTCATTTATGAGCCATGCACTTGAAATTGCTTGAGAACCTCAACTCCCACTGGCATGACCACCTTGGAAAGGGACACTGACACGTTTTTGTTACCATCCAACCTCTCCGCCCAACACCAGTGAGAGGCACCAGTGACTAGGTCTTATCTTACCTTAGCCAAAACCCAGTCTGACGAGACTCCTTTCCAAGGGGTAGTTGTGCGGGGGGAGAGCCCTGCTGGGGGTTCCCGGGCTGGCTCTGAGATGCCCACTTCTATAGAGGAGGCCAAGGTTCCCTGTGCTCGAGGCGTGTGGGAGGTGGGAGGCTCCTGCCAGCAAAGTGTTGAGGCTGTGGAGGGAGGGACTGGAGAAGGACTTCAATCCTCCAACTGCCAGGTCGCTGGGGCCCAGGGCTGTGAGGAGAGGTGAGAGCAGCTCTTACTCACCCTGTGGGTTCCTACTTTGGAGCAAGGACTTCTTAAAGGACTTAGCTGCCTCCAGCGTTGTTAACCCAGGCCAGCCCGAGTGACTCAGGAGTGAGCAGGACTCTCAGAGCCCTCGAAGGGTAATTCAGGGCAATGAAGCGGTATCTCGGGCTACCGTCTCCCCTGACAAATCATCAGAGCAGCTACCGCTTCTCCAAGCCCTGCTGTGTGCCGGGTTGTGCTAAGCCCTCTGGAGTCATCTCATTTTATGCTTACAGACCAACGAGTGAGGTATCAGTAGTACTCCCACTTTCAGAAGTGAAGAACCTGAGGCTCAATGACACTGAGTCCGGGGTCAGTGACAGAGCAGGGGTCAAAACTCAGCTGTGTCTGACTCAAGAAGCTGTGCTCTTACCCATCACTGGGGCGGGAAATGGCAAGTGGTCCAGGGGCTACCGCCTCCCCCTTCTCTGTCACAGGGTAATCAGCTCACGGGAGGGAACCTGTCGGCTTCCGTACGCACCTTTCCCTGCCGCCTCCACAGAAAAGAGGTTCCGCAACCTCTCCTGGGCAGGTTCATTGCCCAGAGCCGCTGACTGCTGGTAACATCGCACAGCCTCTCCCAGGTTCCTCTGCACACCAAGGCCCTTCTCATAGCAAATTCCCAAGTGGTACCTGCTCTGGGAGTCCTAAAGGGGAAAACGGACAGACACACAGATAGGCACACGTGCGGGAGGGAAGAACTGAACCGCGAAGGCAGGAGGAAGGTGGAAGAGTCAGGTACGACAAGCCAGAGGCCCGGAGTTTGCCTGACACGGAGGAGTCGGGGATCCTTCTGCCCAGGGAGATTCGAGCCGTGGCAGCTTCTTTCGCCAAGGCTGGTGCCATAGGCAGGGACAGAAGTGAGGGCCCCAGGCAGCCCAGCCCAACTATGGGAGCCCCGGGACTCTGGCTCCTACGTCAGCTGAAAGAGCCAGGAGCAGGAGTGGAGGCTAGGCTTCCCAAAGGCCCTGCATGCCTGTCTGAACCTCTCCCGAGGTTCTGCAAAACATACGTTACAAAGAATGTTCCTCCTTTGAAAGGTTAGAAGGCTCTGGGATCCTGTCTCCTCTGAGAACTACGAGGCAGTAGCAGTTAGGGCTTCCGAGCACTGCCTGGGTTCCAGTCACGGCTCCACCACCTACTGGGGAGGAACCTCAGGCATATTATGCTATGCCTCTGTGCCTCGGTTTCCTCATCTATAAATGGGAAATAATAACAGTACGTACCTTACTGCATTGTTATGAGGATTACATGCGTTACTACGTGGAAAGTGCTTAGATTACTGTTATTATTACTTTCATACCTTTAGTTGCCCACATCATTAATCTCTCCCTCTCTGGTGGAATATTATCGTTATATTCAAGCCCCCAACTTTAAAAAACAAAATACTCTGTTGATTCCCAACCACGGTCCCATTTCTCTTCTACCTTCTAGCATTAAATTTCTGGACAGGGTTTCTGGTCCATGCATGCCAAAGTCTATGTAATAAATATGGTGGACTCATAGCCATCGACCAGCTTAGAAACTACCAGACACTCATAAGGCCAAAACACCCACCCTGCCACACTGCTCAGTACAAACCTACAGAGACACAATTCCTCCTGGAGTAGGTGAGTGTGAGCACTGTGCCCAACACCGCGTTACCAAGCAATCCTCTGCGCACTTCTCCTTCCAGCGTGCTGGGTGACTAAAGCAGGCCAAGGGGCCCCTGGGCTTGTCCAGCACATGAAGAACACGAGGAAGGCTCTGGGGATCTAACAAGGCAGGCAGGCATAGGGGCAGTACCGGCTGGTGACACTGGTCCCCTTTTGACAGCAACGACAGATAACACTGAGTAAAAATAAAGCATTCTGATGCCCAAGAGTTCGATGAAGCTATCATTGTGTTGGCCCGAAAACACAGACGAGCAGGAGCCCCTACGCAGGGCATTCCAGTCCATGCACACGGCTTGCTTTAATCCAGTACCCCTGGTCCTCCCCCCAAAAAATTCTGGTCAAGTACACTTGAGGAATACAGCAAACCAGAGATGCCCTTTTGGTGATTCGCACGGAGGGAAAGCGCTGAGATCTCCTGCATTGAAGACACCTAGTTGGCTCCATATTTCCAAACCCCGCGGACCATGTTTTCCCCGGAATTACTTACGAACACCCCCTGGAACTAATACTCAGGAGAACACACTCTGGGTCCAATGGATTGGCTGGATGCCAATGCCCCCTGACATCTGCCGCTCCCCAAACTGCTCTGTGTCTTCTGACTTCCCTGAACCGCACCGCTCATGAGGACGCACCCTCCCTGTGGGCCGCTTACCAAGTGCTCGCACACCTGTTACCTCAGATAGATTGTGATCCTCACAACAACCACAACCCTGCGAAGCAGCAGACAGGCGAGGCAGTCAGTATTATCCCCGTTTTTGAGATGAGGAAAACAGGAAAACAAGAAGCAACCGGCCCAGCAGTGTGCTGGTAAATGTAACAACCGGCTGGCCGGTACCGGAAGCCCCGCTTTGTAGCACTGGGTCATTTCTGTGCGGCAAATACTCCTCCCACAGCTGATTTCAAGGCACCAGCACCTCTTGCAGACTGGTGTAAGCCAGCTCCTGCGCACCACTAGACCCGCCCAGGGGTCACACAGGGAGCCAGCGACGGTTAAGACTTGAAGCTGGTCCAGTGTGTTCCCGTCGACCGTCTCCCGTGCACCCTGGAGCTGGGTACCAGTTCCCAAATCCCCTCCTTCCTCAGACTCGATCCCCCAACATGCCAGCACGCTGGAGATGGCCTACCCCATTGTTGGCTGCAAGCCAAAAGTATTTCACAGCTCTCTGCTCATCCAAGTGTGGCTCCTTGGTGAAAAGCACCCCAAGGAAAGCTTGAGCCTGTGGTCAGGGAGGAAGGAAAAAGGTTACCTCGGTCACTTCCAGGCCCCACATGCTCCAAATGCCCAGGAGAGACCCCACCCGGGCACTGACCTCTCTCAAGCCCGAGTCTGCAGCTTGCTTCAGCATGGACACTGCCCTCTGCTGCTTAGGGCCCCCCGCGGAGGCCGGGCCTTGCAGCAGACACCTGGCATAGCGGTACTGAGCCAGGCTGTGGCCCTGGCTGGCAGCCAGCTGGTAGAAAAGGGCTGCCTGGAACAAAGGGAGAGAGCCCTAGTCAGTGGGCACCCTGGCAAGCCAGCTTTCCCTTCGAGTGAAGTTTGTAAAAATTATTTTACTTAAATAGGACATAATCAATACAGATTAGTCAGAAAATACAGATAGGCCAAAACTTCAAAACACAGATAAAGTGCAAACAGAAACATGAAATCCCAAGAAATTCTGCCTCCTAAAGATCATTCTCTGCTCACCTTTTAGTTTACAGCTCTGCAAGTTTCTTCCCACAAACCCATGTATTTATACATACACGCACATACATTCACACACACAGACGTATATAAATGTATGTGTGTATAACAGGGAGAAAGAAACAGAATGAGAGAGAGAACAACATTTACAATTTTGTAACCTATTTTTTCACTTAACAATACACCAAGAATGTCTTTCCCCGCCAATAAATATAGATCTGGTGCGGGGCGCCTGGGTGGCTCGGTCGTTAAGCGTCTGCCTTCGGCTCGGGTCATGATCCCGGGGTCCTGGGATCGAGCCCCGCATCGGGCTCCCTGCTCGGCGGGCGGCCTGCTTCTCCCTCTCCCACTCCCCCTGCTTGTGTTCCCTCTCTTGCTGTATCTCTCTGGTCAAATAAATAAATAAAATCTTAAAAAAAAAAAAAAATATAGATCTGGTGCATCATTTTTTAAGACCCACATAGATATTATTAACCAATTCACTATGAAGGAACTTCAAATTGCTTCCTTCTTTTTTTTGCCATCATATGCAATTCTAAGAAATCCAATCTTGTATATAACATCTCTGTGTACTTATCCTACTTGTTTAGAATGAATTAATCCATTCATCAAGGTAAGGTTGTAGGTCCCGAGGATACAGCTGCAAAGAAGAAAGACAAGGTCCCTGACTCCTTTTAAATCTAAATTCCTAGAAGTTAGGAGTCTCTTCTTTTTCTCTCGTGGCTGAGAGAGAGAAGCTGTCTCCCCAGGCCCTGTCCACTGCTCATTTCTGGAGGTCAGCTCTGGACAGTGCAGCATGGGGGACAGGCCTAGGGACAGGGAGAAGGTGCAGTACCTTGCCAAGGTCCCTGGGGGTGCCTCTGCCATGCTCGTGACACAAGCCCACGTTGTACTGTGCTTTGCTGTAGCCATGGTCTGCTGCTTTCTGGAAGTAAGAAAAGGCTGCCGTGTAGTTCCCATTTCTCATGTTCTCTGTTCCTGTAAGAAAGCACGGGGTGGAAACACAGCTTCCTCTGTGAACGTCCCCATATCCTTGGCCAGATACTCAGAGGCTGCTTCCTTTCTTTTTGGTGCTAGACACTTTGCATGTTTCTATCCTCCAAATGTTTCACTGGTTTGCCAGAGACATCAGTGGGTTCTGTCCTCCTATACAATATCCTCCTCTTGGTGACAGCATCCCGATCTGCCTTTGGGAGCAGCCCCCCTTCCCCCCCTCCCCCGACCCGTGCTATCAATCAACGTGCCGTGCTCTTCCCAACCCATAAGTCCCTCACTCAGGAGTCGGAATCTTAATCTGGGTGAGGCATGAGAGAAAACAGCTTCTGTAGGATTATCCTGACAGCAGCACTCTGAAGACACTGTCCCTAAGTTACTGCCCCCTGGACGCCAGGAGCTACCCTGATTCCTGCTCTTTCTGCCACGTGGCAAAGTCGATAGATCCCAATGGATTCCTTCTGTGCTTAAGTTAGCCAGAGTGGGTTTAGGCTGCTTGTAACCAACAAAACATAACTAAAGCAAGCAAACAAACGAAAAACAGAGACAGGGCTGGGCACAGCCGAGTCCCCATTCAAACCTTTGCTCAAGCTGTCTCTCCTGCCTGGGGTATCTCTCTGCCTCCACCATCAGGCCTTCCCATCCTGTTTCTCTGGAACCTTCAGACCACACTCCGGCTTTAACACTGTTTTGGCATTTACTTAATATACAAGCCTTTTTCTATGAACTAAACTGTTTCCAGAGTACAAGCCCTGTCTCCTCAATTAGACTGCAAAATCCTGGAAGCAGAAGTGGAAAAAGAATGTAGAAGAAATAGCTTTGCACAGGGTGAAAGCTCTATACAAATGCAAAATATGATTATGGTTTATGCTCCCTTTGTGTTCTGCCACACTGCTTAGCACTGCTGAATAAATGAATATGTGAATGAAGGAATGGGCAAGAAAATTCTCAGAAGAGACTGCCTGCCCATCAAAATCACAAAAAGCTAATGAGGCAGAAGCCAGGTTCCATTCAGCCTGGAGTGAATTAAAGTCACCTCCCTGCTGCCTGAAAATTTGCTGTCCAGGATTCACAGAGCCCTCTGTCCTTGAGAAGACTCAAGAGGGCGAAGGATTCCACCCTGTGCCTGCCCATTCCCCACACTGGCTCCCTGATCATCTCTCTTCTTTGTCTCCTCTGCCTCTAAACTAAACCAAGCCACCATGAGGCTTTGCTATGCCATCAATAACAGCTCCAACCCAGTCTCCTGTTTTCTCTGGCATCTCTGCACTCCACATCTGTCCATACAACAGCCAGAGAAATCTGAAAAGGTAAATCAGATCATGTGATGGCACCTCCTCCTACTCCAGTGTAAAACCCTCCATTGGCTTATCTCACTTCGAAAAGCCACACTCCTCTGTGGCTCAGAAGGCCTTGCCTGATCTGGCCCCTCCCTGCTTTTTCTACTCTCCTGGTGATCTCTAAGTTCCAGCCACACTCACCTTTCTTTTGTTCCTTTAACAAGCAAAACTCAATCCTGCCTCAGGACCTTTGTACTTGCTGTTCCCTCTGTTTGGAAAGCTCTTTCTCTGGATGGAAACAAGACTGGCTTGTTTTTGTCAGTCAGGTCTTAGTGCAAAGTTCTTCCCATTGGTGAGGACTTCCCCAAGTCACTGACACATTCCCTTATTTACTTTTCTCTATAACATTTACCACCATTGGAAATTCTCTTGTTTGACAATGTATTGTTTTTCTCTCCCCGCCCACCCCAATTCACATGTCAGCTCCATGAAAGTAAGGACTCTGTCTTATGAATCACTGTATCCCTGAAACCTAAAATAGGGCCTAGCAAAAGGTGAAACTTGTACTAAATGAATCCCTGCTTCTCATGCATCTGCCCATTAACTGAGTCGCCATATTAAAAGGCCTGAAACTTAAGCCAAGTCACCATGGAGAACAGGACAGATGGTGGGGGAGCACCTGGAGTCTCTGGATGTGGGTAAGAAGGTCCTGTTTGTGCACTTAAGGGCCTGCTCCAAACCTAAGGAGCCTGTTCCTGCCTAAATGTGTCAGAAAATGCAAGGTAACCTCCAAGATTTCTCTTCTCCTTCTTACACAGTAACAGAATTTTCAGGTAAGCACGCGGTCATTCAGCTAAAGACTACATTTCCCAGGCCCCTCTGCAGGTAGGTGTGGCCACAAGCCTACATTCTGGTCAACGATTTGTACAACTTGTAGGTTAGAAAGGAGTGATGCTTTAGCTTTCCCACCTTTCCCCTTCCTGAAAAAAGCTAGAATAGCCAAACTGGACCTTGAGATGGAAGCCAGTTCTAAGAATGGCAGAATCATGAGGATGGGTCCCTGACACCACTGTGCCACCATGCCAGATTTGGTCTACCTACCCGGGCGAAAATAAACTCTCTCTTGTTTAAATTGCTCCCTACCCTAACTCGGTTTGACCAACCCCATACCCTTGCCATTTTCCCATCCGCCTGCCTTGATGCAAGGTCCACCCAGTTACCCAGGAAGTTGAAAGCAATGGAAACGGTGAGCTGGAAGAGCTGCTGAATGGAAGTCACGGCCTCCTCGAGGGAAAGCGTTTTTGATTTATCTTGTTCCTGAGGAAGAAATATAAAGACTCATCATGGGACAGTTCTTTGGAACTGCCACCTGCCCAGGGGATAGTTCATTGGAACTGCCACCTGCCCAGGGGAATGTTATGAGGATCCAGAGGCCAAATCTGAACAATACCTGCTTTTCTCCAGCGGGCTGAGGCTGGGCTGGCTTTGCCCTGGACTGGAAGCTACCACTGGTGGGCAGGAAGCCCAGATCACTGGGATCTACAAGGAAAATGGGTGACACCCAGTCAGGGCAAAGGAGAAAGTGTGGTTTCTCCTTTTCTCCCACTATCCCAGTCTCCCCAGCCCCTCCAGCCAGCGCCACTGCCAGGAAACAGAATCATTCTGAAGTGCCCCAGAAAGCAGGGGACCGACAGGAACGACAATTCCCTTATCGGGCATACGCAGCAACAAATGTCCATCTGCCCAATTCCCCACCCCCTCTACTACCTTTGGCTGATTCTAGGAGGTGGAAACATACCTTCCTCAGAGGGACCCTGAAGACCGGATGCCCTCAAAGATCTGTGTGAAGAGAGATTCTTGGGCTGAGTGGAGGCTTCTTTCTGGCCCAGCCCAGGTTCCCTGGGACCAGTATGCCTGGGAGCTGGGCCATCAGGGCTGGGGAGGATGTGTCTCCGAAGTGCTGGAAAGACCCAGTAAGAGCAGTCACATCAGAAGGGGATCAGCTCGGTTTGCTGGGGCTTGACTGAGGGTCCCCTGAGATTTGGGGGAAGAATGTGGGATCCCTTCTGACACCTCCTTCACACACCTCAACCTCCCTCCTCCGTTTCCTTTGCTGGCTTCCATCTGAGGGGTCCAGAGGGGCCCCCATTTATGCTGATCTCCTGCCCTGGGTATAAATCATTCCTCTGCCTGAATACTCCCAGTAGCAGGGAGATATCTACCTTATTCACTGTTGTAGCCCCAGCACCTAGCACTTTGTTTGATAATAATATTGATCATGATTATAATTATAAAACAAGAACTTAAACTAATACTTTCTGGGTACTTACTATGTGCCAGGCACTATTCTAACTCTTTGACGTGTATTAACTCGGTTACTCCTCCCAAGACACCTATGAAGTAGGTTTTATTATTACCCCATTTTATAGACGACAAAACTGAGGCACAGGGAAGTTAAAAGTGACTTGTTCAGGGACACAAGACCAGTATGCGACAGCTCTGGGGCTTGAACCCTGACACTAACTCCAGGGTCTTAACCACTAGGCTGTACTGCCGGGTACCATGGTACATGACAGCTATCCAGTGAAGATGCACTTATTCATGAATGACTAACCAGAGAATGATCCAACTGGCTGAGAGGTAAGCAGGAAGCCACACCCAGGATCTAAAGTAGCCTGTGGGGCTCCCTGTGGGGCTCCCTCCATGGAAGGTGAGGGGAGGACATGGGAGGACACTGAAGGGCAGGTGTGGCCCACACCCTGAGTGGATAGAACTTCCTCACATTCCCCTTCCTCTGACTTCAGATAGGAAAGGCAAGGAGCTGCTGATGGCTCTTTTCCTGAGGTGTGTCCAGAGATGCTTCCTGGCCCAGAGAAACTCCCAGCCTAGCCCTCCTGTCCCTGGGACTGAGAACTCACAGGACTGGTGCGGATGCCACAAGGGAGATGAGAGGAAACGATCCAGGGGACAGCGCCAAGAGCAGTGCCCCGCTTGCCGAGGTCCTGCTGGCAGGGACGACTGGAAATGGATCTGCCTTGCCAGCTGCACGGCCAGCACGGCCAGAGTGCCCTAGGAAAGACAGCACATCAGGGACCCAGCTTTGCACCAGTCACCTCCTTCAGTCTCCCCCTTCAGCTCAGACATCACTTCCTCGAGAGGCCTTTCCTGACTCCTGGCTATGGCCAACTAATCCTCTCCCAGTGAAGGGGTGCCTGGGTGGCTCAGTCGTTAAGTGTCCGCCTTCGGCTCGGGTCATGATCCCAGTGTCCTGGGATTAAGCCCCACATCAGGCTCCCTGCTCCGCGGGAAGCCTGCTTCTCCCTCTCCCACTCCCCCTGCTTGTGTTCCTGCTCTCGCTGCGTCTCTTTCTGTCAAATACATAAATAAAATCTTGAAAAAAAAAATCCTCTCCCAGTGCCCAAATGTCCCTGTAGAGCCCTGGTCACAGTGGTACTTAAATAATCACCTCGACAATTATTGAGCTAAGCTCTGTGTCTCCAGTTAGTCTTAAGCGCCATGAGGGCAGGAACTGTGTGTGTTTTGCTCACCACTGTATCCCTGGAGCCTAGGAGAGTCCTAAGATATAGCACGAATAAATACATGCATGTATTTATTAAATGTATAATAAGTTAATGAATAAGTAAAGTCTAAGCAGGCAAAAAGATAATGTGGTAAGCTGGGGCTTGGCCACAGATGCAGTGACAGGTGAGAGTTCCCCATCAGGTTCACTGTCCTTCTCTGGCCTGGGGCACCAAGTCTTCCCTTTCCTCTGCCCAAGCCACCCCGCCAGCGACACATTCACAGGTACAGGCTTGCTGAAGGTGTCCCGGTATCTCTTCCCCGACAGATCTGTGGAAGACCTAAGCTAGCTCCTAGCCCAGTGCCTGCTTGGTTTTCCCTGTCCCTTCCTGTGCACACCGAAATACTTATTTATGACAACAGGCATTGGGTACACTGGCCGAGACAAGTTACAGTCTCTGTCCTCATGCAGTTTACATTTGCACTGAGGGAGAAAGACAGATTTTGAGTACACAGAGAAATAAACACAATAACCACAAGTTATGCTAAATGCCAAAAAAGAAACAAATCAGGAGTTTTCACAGAGCATAGAGGGAGGTCTGAGAAAACAGGGCATCAAGGAAAGCCTCTCTAGAGGGCTGATATGTGAACTGAGACCAGAAGGAAGAGAAGGTGCCAGCATGTAATAACAGAGACATGTATCCATGGCAGTGGGGACAGCTTGTACTCAGGCCCTTTCACATGGTCAACAGTGACAGAGCTGAGGGACAGCATCAGGACCCCTGGAATCCACGCCCAGTTTCTAGAAGGACTCACTGTGGAATTGCTCTAGGACTCAGATCTTTGGCAAATTGGGAAAATGCTCTGCTCTCCAGGGTATGCTATGCCCCTAGTCCACAGCTCCACAGAGAGAAGTGGCCCCGCCACGGACACATTCTAGGCTCCATTCTGCTGATGGCACCAATTTACAATGAGACAACTGATGCTCAGGGAAGTCAAGTTACTTGCCCAAAGTATACAGCATGAAAGTGATAGGGATGAGATGTGACAGAAACGAGAGTGATGTGTGCAGAACCTGGATGACAAAGATTCTGCCTTGTTGGACCTCGTGTTCGCTGCTGAGCACCTGACTTTGTAAGTCAGAGTCAACAAATACTTTTTGAGCAACTATTATGTACCAGGATCTGCACTAGGTTTTCCCTGTCCCTTCCTGTGCACACTCAAATACTTCTCTGTTACAACAGGCGCTGGGTACACTGGCAAAGACAAGTTACAGTCTCTGTCCCCATGGAGTTTACATCTTCACCGAGGGAGAAAGACAAAATTTGAGTACACAGAGAAATAAACAATAAGCTGTAGAGCATGGTGGCTAAGAGCATGAGCTCCAGAATAAATATGGTTTCTCTACTTCATAGCTGTATGACCTTAAGCATGTTACCTAAAGTTTCAGAGCCTGAGTTCCCTTATCTATAAAATGGAGATTATATTTCCCTTGCAAGATTTTTGTAAGGATTAAAGACGATAATGCATATATAATATTTACATTAATACATAAAATGTCAGCTATTTAGTATTATTCATTGTAAGCTTCATCAAGGCAAGAATCACATCTACCTTGTTCTCTACTGTGTCACTAGTCCCTAACAAAAATGCTCAGAGAATGTGTCAAACAAATGTTTACTGAATAAAAGGAGGAAGAGGGCGGGGGAAGGAGAGCAGCAATATCTCACCAAGCAGGATCCAATGCCATGGGTTACTCAAATTTCAAGTGTGGGAACAATGATGCCCTCGCTCTTGTTTCTAGGCTATATTTCCATGCAGGATCATTCTCATCCACACAGAAGGGCAGGGACAGGACTGGGGAAGCCTTACCCATGATATGGCATCCCAAAAGGTGTTTGGGAAAACACGGGTAGACATCCACTGGAAGGCATCCTTCCATCCATGAGACCTTGGGCCCCTGTTTGGGCCTGGGCCTGGGCCATGGGGGCCCGACCTAGATGAGGCAAGAAAGGCTATCAGGTTCTATCCCAAGTGGGAGGAGAAGGAGGCCAGAGGAAGAGATGAGTGACAGAATGGAAGTATCTCACCTGTCAAAGCTGGGGATAGGGACCAGCAGGTTGGAGGAGGCAGCCTGCAGCCCATCTGGGTTGGGGGACTTGGGGGTCACCCCCCGGAGGCCAGGCCCCAGCAGACGGGGAAGAGCTGTGTAGAACAACAAAGATCAGTCACCTCGACATAAACAGAACTGAGGCAGTGGCGGCCCCACCGATCTTCCCTCCGCCGCTTGACAAAGCCCCACTCCAGGCACGTGACTCCTAAGTCCTCCCGGGGCTGACAATCACTGTTATAATAAAATTACCGGACATTCACACACAAACTCGCTCAATGTTTGAAGCGCCCCTCTCTAAATCCCGCCTCTTTTCATTGGCTCCGCCTACTCCACCGGCCCCTACTCATCTTTCCCAGACTCCGGGCCCTGGCGATTTGACTCCTCCCCTTCCAATAGCCCCACCCATCTGCGTGGCTCTACGCTCCACCCCCTCCCCCATGAGCCCCACCCACACCTCGAATTCCCGCGGCCCCTGACAGGAGGCTGTAGCCACGGCTATTTAGACTCCGCCTTCCCTCAACTTTAACCCCGCCCGCTGAAGCTTCGGCTCCGTCCCCTTGGCCCGTCCTCTTCCTTCAGTTCGAAGTCCCGGGTGCTCCAACGCCCCTTACCCCGGCCCAGGAGTCCCGGGAGGCGCCACATGTCGTCGCCAACAGCATAGAGAACTTGCAGTCCCAACACCGAGGGCCGACCGCTGTGGCGCCCTCCGAATGGCCGAGTCCTGAGGAAGCGCCCAATCAGCCAATTAGAAAGGGGCGCAGCCGGAAGGCCGGGGCTACGCGAAAGGAAGCGGGGGTGTAGGCGTCTTTGGGGCTGACGAGGAGGTGAACTGCGCCAAGGGCATGGCTATGGCCCCGACCTCCCCCTGGAAGGGGTGTCGCTCGCCGCCCGCCCGACAGTGCGGAGAGCGCGCAGCGGCGGGGGTCGCAGGTGGCCGAGCTGAGCCGCGTCCGCAACGGGACTGCGGAGAGGCGGGCCTGGGGGCCTCGGTAGCGCGGGACGGCTTTGCAGAGCCAGTGCAGAAGCGAAAGGGGAACCCTGTTTCCCAGCCCCGCCACTGGACGAGTAACCCGAGCCGGTGGCTGGAGGAGAGGAGCGCTAGGGTCCGACGAGAGAAGCCCGTCGTCCGAGCTTTCCCGCCCGAGGCCCGCGACTAGGAGATGCGGGCCCGGACCGACGGGGTAGGCGATGAAAAAAGGCAGCGTTCTGATTCCGGGGTTCCAGCTCTGGCTCAGCTTTGTGTCACCGAGTAGCCTCCGCACGACCCCTTCCCCTGTCTGGGCCTCAGCCTGCGCAGTGATAGGGTCTGATGGAGTGATCTCGACCAGTCCTTGCTGGCTCGACAGCAACTACCTGAGTTGCTTCGAAATACCTAAGAGGAGACTCCCCCCCCCCCTTTGTTAATCAAAGCCCTCCCCAGACCCACCCAATGTTATCTATGCATTATTTTGTGTGGAAGAGAATGGTTCTGCTTCCACTACCCTTGAATCTATAAAATAAAGGAACTCAAATGTAAGATGCTTAGACTTCCACCCTCCTCCTTTCCCCCAGGTACATGACTTTTGGTTGGGGGGGGGGGGGGAGTCTACACCTGAGGTAACAGTTCACAGGGATCACCTACTTTTAGACCTTGGCATGATCGGACAGTTGTATTTGTTCAACAATATTTAAGCCATATGGCAGCCACCATCCTAGAATCTGAGAAGACAGATGAGGAAAGAGTATTTGTGGCCTCCACAAATAAACCGTCCAGTGTTTTAAGAATGGTCTCTGGAGTTCCACAAATGGTTTGAATCATAGCTTTTTTACTTCCTAGCTATGTGTTCTTGGGCAGTTTAATTAAGCACTTTAAGCCTCAGGTTCTTCATCTATAAAATGGTAGAAAAAATACCTCGAAATTGCTGAGGATTAAATAGTACATTTAAAATGTTCAGCATAGCCCCTAGCACATAGTAAGAGCCTAATAAATGGAAGCTGATGTTAATTGCAGTGGTGGAGGAGGTGAGTAGGCAAAAATAATAGATATGTTCCAAAAGAAGCATGATGCTGGGTTATGGGATACTGAGAAAGGATACAGAGAACTAGATGCATTCGAGCAGGACCTTTACATATGAGTAAAGAGTTTGCTAGGTGGAGAAGGCAGAAAGCCATTGCAAGCAGAAGAAACAAAAAATAAAGGCCCAGGAGTGCAAGTATTGGGAAACTATTCAGAGATATCCTTGTTTTGGGATTTGGGGCAGCCACCTTTCACATTCCTTGTGTTGCTGACTCAAAATAACCAGCGTGCTGGTTTGGCTCTGTTCTTCCTCCTGGGACTTCGGCACCTTTCTTCCTGTCAGCCTGTCCGCAGTTCTTTTCATGCCCCCAGGCTCGGCCACATCCAGCTCTTCAGTGACGACTCCCCAACTGTTTGAGCCCTCACTGCTCTCCGCTTTTCCCAATTCCTGTAGCACTTAATTTCTTACCACACAATTTAGCAGTAATTATATGTTGCCCTGTTATTTAATTATCTCATTTGTGTAAGTCTACTCTCCCCAGTTCTTTCCCTCAGGGGAGGGATGGCATTTTCCCATTTTGTGTCCACATAGAACTTGACGAAAATTGTCAAACAATGTCTCTTGACTGAACACCTTGTGCTGATGATGATTACAGACAAGAGCACCCAGACCCCAATCAGGGATTTATTGATTTGGTTAGGAACATATTCATTCCACATACAAACACTGAGGGCCCTTCATGTTTGAAGCTAGTTGAAAAATTGTGAAGATAGGATGTCTTGTTTCCATGTGTAAAATGACATGACGTCTCTTGTCTTTAGAAATCTAAACACCACTTGTGTGAGGGGTCGATGGCAAGGGCAGCTGGAGTCCTCATTGGCACACCAGGTCACCTGTTCAGTGTTGCCCTGAGGAGCACCATCAGAATGACAACTTTGTTCCCTTGCCTTTACCTTTGCTAAAGCCATTGGCCATTCTCTTCTTCAGCTACGAAGGTTGCTCTCTGTTGTTGGCTTTGACTCAATCCTTCTACAGAGATAAGCTGTCTAACTTAACATTAGGAACCTACTGCCCAGGGCTGCCTGGGTGGCTCAGTCGGTTAAGTGTCTGCCTTCAACTCAGGTCATGATCCCAAGAATCCTGGGATCAGCCTCGGGCTCCTTGCTCAATGGGGAGCCTGCTCTTCCCTCTGCCTGATGCTCCCCTTGCTTGTGCTCTCTCTCTCTCTCTCTCTCTCTGACAAATAAATAAATAAAATCTTTAAAAAAGAAAAAAAAAGGAAGCTACTACTGCCCAGATACCCAGTTCTTCACCTTTTGTTGACGACACTGTATACTCCTCGCAGTGAGTGTTCTAGACATTTTTTATTGTCTTTGTTTTTGTAGAGACTCTTAATTTACATTAATCAAATATATTAGTGCTTATTCTGTGGAGAATGTCCTGAGTATATTACAATTTTTAAAAAAATGGATGTGTTCAGGGCACCTGGGGGGCTCAGTTGGTTAAGCGTCTGCCTTCGGCTCAGGTCATGATCCCAGGATTTTGGGATTGAGCCCCCCGTCGGGCTCCCTGCTCACTGGGGAGTCTGCTTATCTCTCTCTCTCTCTCTCCCTCTGCCTCTCCCCCTGCTCATGCTCTCTCTCTCAAATGAATAAATAAAATCTTAAAAAAAAAAAAAAAGAAAAAGGGTGTGGTCCCTGTCCTCACCGAGAAAATAATCTAGCAGGGCAGACACACTCAGTAGACAAAATACAGCATGGTGTTTTAGTTAGTGCAGCATAACAAACGCTCTGAAATTTAGTGGCTTAAAACAATTATTTTGTTATCTCTCAGAGTTCTGTGAATTGACTGGCCTCAGCTGGGTAATTCTCCTGGTCTCACTTCAGGTCTCATGAGGTGGCAGTCAGATGGCAGCTGTGGCTGGCGTCCTGTGAAGGCTCAACTAGGATACTGGAATGGCTGAGCCTCTTTCCTTCTCCATGTAGTCTCAGGGCCTCGCTAGCTGAGCAGCTGGACTTAAATGGTGGCTCAGAGCCTCTCAGTGTACAAAAGTGCAAGCTGCCAGGCTTCTTAAGCCTTAGGCCTGGAACCTGCACCTATATTCTGTTGGCTAAGGCAGTTCATACAGTCAGCCCACAATCAGTGTAAGGTTTGCACAAATACTAGGAAGTGTGGCTTAGTGGGGAAAGTACAGGGTGCTATGAGAACATCTAGGTTTGGAAGTCAGGAAGACTTCCTGGAGACAGCAACAGCTTAACTGATGAACCTGAATGATGAGGTTTGGGAACTAGCCAGATGAAGAAGGGAAGGGGAAGCCAGTTCAGGCAGGGAAAAGAGCTGGTGCAAAGTCCCAGAGAGGCAAAGAGAGCACAACTTAAGATCAGTGTGGCTGGGACCCCTGGGTGGCTTAGTCAGTTGGGCGGCTGCCTTTGGCTCCGGTCATAATCCCAGGGTCCTGGGATCGAGTCCCACATCGGGCTCCCTCCCTGCTGGGCGGGGACACTGCTTCTCCTTCTGCCTACCACTCCCCCTGTTTGTGCTCTCCCTCTCTCTCTCTCTCTCTCTGTTAAATAAATAAATAAATAATCTTAAAAAAAAAAAGATCAGTGTGGCTCTAGCTGGATGGGGAGTAGGGTGGGGGGCTGGGGGGGTAGTAGTAGAGGGGATGGTATGGGATAGTGATAGTCCTTTAGACTGGAGAGAAAAACAGGGCCAGATTGTAAAGTCTTGTAAGTCCCCCAAGATGTCTGGACTCTGTCCTGAGGGCATGTGACACCAAAGAAGGAAGCAGGGGCATGATCAGGCTAGAGGGATATTGGCTGCTGTGTGGGGGACAGATTGCAGGGGGTCAAATCTTCATTTTCATCTAGACCCTTCTATCCAGTGACCAACCTCACTTCTGTCACCGAGAAGACCGAGTCATCACCTTAGCACTGATATGAGTTCTTTTTGCTTTTTATTAATGGGAATTTTTTTTTAAGATTTTATTTTTAAGTATTCTCTACACTCAACGTGGGGCTTGAACTCACAACCCTGAGATCAAGAGTCGCATGCTCAGGACACCTGGGTGGTTCAGTCGGTTAAGTGTCTGCCTTCGGCTCAGGTCATGATCCCAGGGTCCTGGGATCGAACCCCCCACATCGCCCCCCACATCAGGTTTCTTGCTCAGCGGGGAGCCTGTTTCTCCCTCTGCCTGCCACTCCCCTTGCTTGTTCTCTCTCTCTCTCCCAAATAAATAAATAAAAGCCTAAAAAAAAAAAAAAAGAGTGGCATTCTCTACTGACTGAGCCACCCAGCACCCCTTTTAGTGGAAATTTTCATTATAAAAAAATGCAAGCTCCTTTGTACAAGTTTTGTTTTTGTTTTTGTTTTGTTTTTAAAAGAACACATTAGGAGCACCTGGGTGGCTCAGTCAGTTGGGTGTCTGACTCTTGATTTGGGCTCAGGTCATGACCTCAGGGTTGTGGGATAGAGTCCTGAGTTGGGCTCCACACTCAGCAGGGACTCTGCTGGAGATTCTCTCCCTCTGCCCCTCCCTGCCCTTCCCCCCAAAATAATAAATAAATAAATCTTAAAAAAAAAAAAAAGAACATGTCATAGGAAGCCTGCTACCTGGTAGGATGTGGACATGACGTTGGCTAGGTGGTCAAACAATTTGTACCTAAGGAAGAGCCTGCCTGCCAAGAACAAGGAGCAGACCAGGCTCAGTGGATTTTACCCCTCATTTAAGTAATGATTGGTTAAAAGAGTCCCTATTCTTGGGCG